TCCTGTTAATTCGCCCCGCCCAGAGTCAGGTTTTTCTGCTAGGCTCAGGGCCGGTGCAGACCTGAGGTCACTCTGCTTATGACGTATGTCCAAGATGGCGCCTGCTCTTTTTCTTGCTTGTCTTTGAGAGGTGAGCGGAGAGAGAGAAACCCGTGTCCGTATCAGTCACTCTTTTTCTCTTTCTCTCTCTCTTCTAGTTAGCCTGGTAAACTTTTCCCCCCAGGGTCGTTCTCTCTAGTCTCCTCTTTCCGCTTGCCTGCCGGTGTCTCGGGCTATTGAGGTTCGGCTCACCTCGTGTTCCAGCACTGGTGTGTTGAGTCTGCCGCTGGTGTCCCAAACCGTGGGCTCCCACGCTCTCCACGCAGGTCCACTGTGAATCACTTGTTCCGGAAGAGTTTCTTCTGCTGTTTCTTCCCTTACTCTTCCTTGAACCTGCAGTATCTCCACTTTTATTAAACTGTCTCTCCCCGGACTATCAGTGTGCTCCCTTCCTATTCCGCCATAACCTCCAGATAAGTCTCTTAATTTTGATAAGTATTTTTAAATATCTCTTAATAACTTGTTTCCATTTTCATATCTATTATTGCCTGTCTCTCCACACTTCCAGTAACAGCAGCACTATTTTGCCATTTTATGGTTGAAAAAGCCATTTTTTTGTAGACAATTTAAGTTGTAAGTTGAGCAGTTTTTTTGGTATGTTTGTACTACCAATTGTCCTTTGTCCAGTTGAGTTATATTTTTTAATTAATTAAGGAAATGAACAATTCCCTTGTTTCTTTCAGTTTGTCTGGAATTTATTTGTGTAACAGATGGGGAACATCTGGCCCATGGGCTTTATAAGACCCACGAAATCATTTGGTCTGGCCCTGCCAAGGCAACTGCAAGCGGGACTTAAAATTCAATAAATCCACAGCAGGCCCTCTTTTTAGTTGATAATTTTGTATGTCCTCTGAAAGATGTTATAAATATCCAAATGGCCCTTGGTGGAAAAAAGGTTTCCCCATCCTTGCTATTAAAAGTTTTTAATTTTTCCTTAAAATAATCAGTTGTTCCTTTTTCTCTTCTATACTTACATTCTCTTTAAAGTCTCTTTTCATCTTAAGTTTGTTTGAGAAACAGAGTGAAAGCACACTTCTATCTGCTGGTTCACTCCTCAAATGTCCAGAATGATTGGGGCTAGACCTGGGGCCAGAGCCAAGAGCCAGAAACAGTCTCAGTCTCTCACATGGGTGACAGTGCCCCAACTGCTTGAACCATCTATCACCTGCTAACTCCCAGGGTCTGCATTAGCAGGAAGCTGGAATCATGGAGCCAAATTTAGGAATTGCATTGTCCGGGATAGCTATATATGGCTGCTGAACTCTTGAAATGTGGCTAGTGTGACTGGAAAAAAATTAATTTAAAATTTTTTTAAGTTAACAAATTTTAATTGCCACATGTGGTTAGTGACTACTATGTTGGGCAGTGAAGCACAGCTATTCTGACTGGTATCTTTTTACAGCTATTTATCTGCTCCAAGTCCTTTTTTTTTTTTTTTTAAATCATCTTAACCATTTGTAAGTGTGTAGTTAAACAGTGTTAACTACATTCACATTGGAATCCAGAGCTTCTTCCATTTTGTAAAATTAAATTCTGCACCCATAAACAATTCCTATTTTTCCTTCCCCTCAGCTTCTAGGATCTACCATTCTGCTTTTTGTTTCTGTGAATTTGACTACTTTTTTTATTTTTTAAATTTTTTAAAATTTTATTTAAGGTGTACAAGTTTCATGTATTTCATGTATGCAGATTTAGGTTAGATGCCTTTCTAAGTGTAATTGTGAAGTATTTGTTGATTTGTGTCTGGTCTTAACAAAAATTTTTAAAAGCGACAGATTTCTGTCTTCTAGTCCACTCCCCAAATGTGCACAGTAGCCAGGCCTGGGCCAGGACAAAACCGTGAGCTGAAATTCCATCTGGGTTTCCCATGTAAGTAACAAGGACCCAAGTACTTGAACCATGCCCTGCTACCTTCTATGGTGCACACTAGCAGGAAGCTGGATCAGAAGCAAAGTAACCAGCAATCAAGCTAGGCACTATGACTGGGATGTGCACATCCAAGTGAGGACTTACGGTGTAGTACCAAATGCCTACCCCTTGGTTATTTGAGTTAGCATAATGTTCTTAAGGTAGTCCAGTAGAGAACTATTTTTAAGTTTTACTTTTTCAGCACAAGACACCCTATGACTCTTTAATTTAGGATCATTTGTATATAAATGTTTGTAAAAGTTTTATTAAAATTGGGCATGTGATCTCATTGTTAAGCATATTCCTACGAAGAACCCTTAACACTCTTTTATCACAAGTATAGTTAGTTATTTCTAGTTTTTTTTCAAATCCATATAGTTACATTTTATAAGTGATAACTCATTAGAGAATGAAATTTAGGGATGTTTAAGTTCCTGACCTACTTTTCTGTGTTAGCATTGTACAATAAATTCTGTTAAATGTTTGCTTTGTGGAAGTTATCATAGCACATGGGATGCAGTATTGTACTTTGGACTTAGACAAATTTGACTTTGATTCTTGACTCTGTTAAACTTTGCAACCTTGGAAGAAATTCCTTAAACCCCATACCTCAGTCATTCTCCACCTTTAATATAGGTATAACATCTACCTTATAATGTCTTGATTGGTTTATGTGAAACACTTTACACCTCCAGGCCACAAATAAATGCCTAATAAATTATCATATATATCATCATAGTAATAACCCATTAATAATATTATTGCATCCTTTCATAGAATCTATAGGGAACATTGCAGACAGCAAATTTGAATTTTTATTTGCTTTAGTCTCACTTGAGTCTGTCACAAATATAAGAGATGTTAAATAATACCTGATTTATAATAGAGATTTTTAGTGTTTTTCATTCATTGTATATTTGATCTGAGTCCATAAATTAGAGCCAGAGAATGAAAGTGCTACAGTGATAGCAATATATGTTAGTTTATATGACATATAAATTATTTCATTTTTAGTTTCAAAACATATTTTGTAACTTGGATATAAGTATATTGAATTGTATGTTCACATGGTGCTTCTTTAATCTTGAGAATTTAGGCATGTATATTTTCCCTTGTAATTCCTGGGCTTTAAACTTAGGTTATTGTCAGACTTTTAAGTAATGCCAACTTGAATTGAACATATCCTCATCTATGATCACTAGGTAACATTTTGTAAATTCTTATTTTTAAAGTAGCTAGACTAATTTTTTATTTGTGATATTTTAATGTTAAAAGCATTTTTCTATAGTTCATCATTTTAGGAATTTTTTTAAGTAGAAAAGGTGAAGATGGTCGGGAAGTAGTGGTTATAAAAGGGTAACATGTGGGGCCGGCGCCATGGCTCACTTGGTTAATCCTCTGCCTTGCAGGTGCTGGCATCCCATATGGGCACTGGGTTCTAGTCCTGGTTGCTCCTCTTCCAGTCCAGCAATCTGCTATGGCCCGGGAGGGCAGTGGAGGATGGCTCAAGTGCTTGGGCCCCTGCACCCACATGGGAGATCAGGAAGAAGCACCTGGCTCCTGGTTTCAGATCAGCACAGTGCCGGCTGTGGCGGCCATTTGGGGAGTGAACCAACAGAAGGAAGACCTTTCTCTCTGTCTCTCTCTCTAACTCTACCTGTCAAATAAAAAAAAAGGGTAACATGTACACATGTACTGAAATATCATGCTTCACTTCATATAGATGGATACAATTATTGTCTGTTAATTTAGAATAATTTAAAAGGTTAACATTAAAAGGCACATCCTTGTCATGATGTAAATGTTCTATATCTGTCAATATACTGGCTGTAGAGGCCATCATTGTGGTTCAGTAGGTAAGCTGCCACTGTGATGCCAGAATCCCATATGAGCTGGTTGGGAGTCCTGGCTGCTCCATTTCCTGTCCAACTCTACTAATGGATCTAGGAAAGCAGCAGAAGATGGGCCCAGTGCTTGGGCCCCTGGTCACCCATGTGGGAGACCTGGGTTAAGTTTCTAGTTCCTGGCTTTGGCTTGGCTCTTCCCTGGCTGTTGCGGCCATTTGGGGAGTGAACCAGCAGATGGAAAATCTCTCTCTCTCCCACTTTCCTCTCTTCCCCTCTATAACTGTGCCATTTAAATAAACAAATCTGGTCATAAAATTGTACTTTATTTTGGCAAGATATTACCATTAGGAAAATCCAGGTAAAGTGGGATCACTTTGTAATATTACCTACAATTGCATGTGAATCTAAAATTATCTCAAAAAAGATTTAATTAAAGGTGGCACTATCCAGAAATATTCAAAAACACAAGTGCCATTTTTTTCGAGAAAGATTTGCTTTCAACTGAAATTGTGCTTAGTACACTGCACACTTATGTACTCTTGTGAATTCCAATACACTTAGAATGTTCTAGCAATCCATTAAAGGTTTTTATTTAAAACACTCTTATTATACACACAAAAGCAAACTCAGAAATGTTCTTAGACAATGTGTATTATTTGACCATATGTACCCATAATTTTCACTGCCCTGAAGGGTTTTCAGTCTTTGTAAACAAGTGATGTACTCAAGGGGCTATATCCCAAAAGACTGTATGTCTTATAAATATAGCTGTACCTTACACTGATACTTATTTGGCATTTGTCCTTAATGTTGAAGTACATACACCTACAGGTAAAAATTTTCCTTACAATGATCTGAGAAAACTCGCTTCTCATATTTATATTGAAGTTATTTCAAAGTATTAATCAATTGTTCTACATCCATTTACTTCTATGAATGGCTGGTATTACTATGTACATTATGTGATTTAAAACAAGATACTTTGAGATTGCTTTTAAAGGAATGAACGGCTTTTGTTAATTGTGTAAGATACTAAAGATCACCCCTGACAAAACTAAAATCTCATTACTGGCCTGTATAGTCCAAAGGTCATGGAATTTCTGTTCAGCATGTTGACTGCATGCCATAATGATGCTCATACCCATTCTGATTTTGTGCCATATACTTTGCTTTACAAGTTTATATATTCATTCAGCCTGGAGTCCATACCTATTTAACAATGTTCTTATCTCTGTACCATACAAAGATAAGGAAGCTAGGATCTTAAGTTCAACACCTTAATTCATGATGTTTATAATAGTGTTATTGCTCAGTTAATTCACATATAGCATTATTGAAGCTTGGCTGTTAATAATTAAAGTGTAACAATGTGGCTAGCTGAGCACAGGGATGTCAATAACTGGTGTGTGTGTGTATGTGTGTATGTTCAGTGTATTTGACACCGCATTCTTGAAGGGAAAAAAAACTGTCTCACATTTTAGATTTTCTCTATTCCTTAAAATGTACCTCACCTGACAACATGTTTCAAACATGAGTTGACTGTATCAAATTTTAAAAAGTGGTTTCTGTAATATTTCTGCCTATCTATCATAGAACATCTATATTATACAGTTCTTACATGAGGTATTATATGAAAGTATTTCTCCTCAAATTTGCAAATGAGTGCCTTATGTTTTGTGATTTTTATTGCCTTGCTAGTATGCAAGTAATACTGTTTTATTGAATTTTAACACCACTTGTTTTGCTTTCAGTGAACCTCATTCTCAATGGAGATGGGGACTGGAAACTACACAACAATGACAGAGTTCATTCTATTGGGGTTAACAGAAGATACCACAGCTTGTGCAATTTTATTTATTGTGTTTCTTGGGATCTATGTGGTCACCTTACTGGGCAATGTCAGCATAATTATGTTAATCAGAAGCAGCCCTCAGCTTCATACTCCAATGTACCTTTTCCTCAGCCATTTGGCCTTTGTAGACATTGGGTACTCTTCATCAGTCACACCAGTCATGCTTATGGGTTTCCTCAGGAAAGGAACTTTAATCCCTATTGCTGGTTGTGTAGCCCAACTCTGTTCTGTGGTGACATTTGGGACAGCTGAGTGCTTCTTGCTAGCTGCCATGGCCTATGATCGCTATGTAGCCATCTGCTCACCCCTTCTCTACAACACCCACATGTCCCCCAGAATCTGCATTTTCTTAGTGGGCATGTCCTACTTAGGTGGGTGTGGGAATGCTTGGACATTCACTGGCTGTCTGTTAAGTCTGTCCTTCTGCGGGCCAAATAAAGTCAATCACTTTTTCTGCGACTATTCACCACTTTTAAAGCTTTCTTGTTCTCACGATTTTATTTCTGAAATAGTTCCAGCCACCTCATCGGGCTCCATCATTGTGATCACAGTGTTTATCATTGCTCTCTCTTATGTCTACATCCTTTTTTCAATCCTGAAGATGCGCTCTACAGAGGGACGGCACAAGGCCTTCTCCACCTGCACCTCCCACCTCACTGCAGTCACTCTGTTCTATGGGACCATTACATTCATTTATGTGATGCCCAAATCCAGCTACTCAACTGACCAGAACAAAGTGGTATCTGTGTTCTACACAGTGGTGATCCCCATGCTGAACCCCCTCATCTACAGTCTCAGGAACAAGGAGGTTAAAGAGGCTGTGAGGAAACTGATGGCTAGGACCCACTGGAGATCATAAGAAACCTGACTTTCATAATAAATATATATAATAATGACCCCTAATGAAGGTTCAAGGATAATGTACTAAGTAAATTTCAATTTGTATTCACAGTATCCTAGACTCATAAATGTCAATGTCTTGTTATCAAAATTTTCAGTGTAAAAACGAGGATTCACTAAGATAGGAACATGCTGCAAAAAATAAACCCACAATATAGTTATTCTTGCATATATAAGCACAAGTCTTTTCACATTAAGTTTTGTGCTCTCTGAATGCAGTCTTTGGAATTAAACAGGAAAGGACGCATTTCAAACTCCCATAATGAGGAATAGAATAGTGTTGTTATCTAAGAGCTCTTCATCTGATATAGGTGGTCCCTACACACTACAGTGATCTAAGGGTTGAAACCAGTGATGCAGGTAGTTGAAAAGCTTCTATGATCCTGTGAACTAAGCCTGACCAACAGGAATCCTCCTGCAGTATCTGCAGATGAGCATGAGCTAGTCAACTGAGAAGATCCCAGAAGTTGTCCCTGAGCTACAGTTCTTCCATTTTTAGGGATTTATTCCATCAAATACTTTAAGAAGTCTCTAAATGAGAGCCTCCTGGGGTTTAACCTGGATTAACTGGCTCCTTTGGCAATAAAGAAGTGTACTGTTTTTATAAGGTTGTTTCAATCTTCAGAATTGTATGCTCCACTCTTCATAATGTCTGTTGAACCAATTTTTCTCAAATATTCCCATTGCTTCTGGGACTGAAAATTCTTGATACTTTATGTATAATTTCACTGAAACTGTTACAATAGTCCTAAAAATGCTCTTCTTGAACCATATTAATTTTAATTTTTTGGAATTTAAGTTTGTTTACATTGTTAAAGACTCCATTTGTGTTTGTTCATCAACTGTCTTTTCTATTTGATTATAAAATAAAAAGTATAATATTTTATAAATCTTTTTTTCTTTAAGAAAAATTTAAAGACTAGGTCAATCTTACAACATGTTCCATCATACAATTTTCTCTTTATTCATGAGGAATGATTTTTCTGTCTTCAACATTAAGTTCAATTTCTTTAAGTTCTGAAAGAAATAACACCCACATTTCCTGGTCCATACTGGCTGACTACAAATACTCTGTCTTATGCTATATGTGATCCATATGGGTCTCCAGATTAACTTTTCTTTGGATGTCCCTTTGCCAAAATTGATATGGTTACCACCATTGCAGAACCAACCTGACAGCAGAGTATTTCAATTAGACCCTGGTCTTACTCCATTACTCACAGGTCTGGCTAGCCAAATGGTAGGAGGCTGGCCGGCGCCGCGGCTCACTAGGCTAATCCTCCGCCTTGCGGCGCCGGCACACCGGGTTCTAGTCCCGGTCGGGGTGCCGGATTCTGTCCCGGTTGCCCCTCTTCCAGGCCAGCCCTCTGCTGTGGCCAGGGAGTGCAGTGGAGGATGGCCCAGGTGCTTGGGCCCTGCACCCCATGGGAGACCAGGATAAGCACCTGGCTCCTGGCTCCTGCCATCGGATCAGCGCGGTGCGCCGGCCGCAGCGCGCCGGCCGCGGCAGCCATTGGAGGGTGAACCAACGGCAAAGGAAGACCTTTCTCTCTGTCTCTCTCTCTCTCACTGTCCACTCTGCCTGTCAAAAAAAAAAAAAAATGGTAGGAGGCTGATCTGGCATATTGGAGGCTTGGTTATGGGGCCATCTAAGAAACATCTGTAAGTCTGGATTGTTGCCTACGGAATTACAAAGGTGCCATAAACAAAAATATGAGCCAGGATGCATGGTTCTATGTACCAAGGTATAGAGGTAGGATCTGATTGCTAACTATTATACTAAATAATATGTTGCTCTAACAAATTACTACAACTTAGTGTCTTAAAGCAATACAAATATGTTATCTTACAGTTCTTGAGGTTGGAAGGCCAATATGAGTACCACTGGGCTGAAGTCAAGGTAGCATCCATTTTCTTAGATTTGCCAGATTCTAGGGACAACTGCATTCTTTCACTTGTGCCATCTGCTATATCCCTGTTTTGTGGTCCCATCTTTCCCTTAAACTTTTTAGCCACCTCTTTCTTCTCCTTTTAAGTATACTTATAATGATATTGTCTTTACCCTGGTAATACAGGATAATCTCTATTTCAAAGACAGTAAATAGCAATTAATCTAAAATGCAACTTCAATTTTTTCTTTGCTAAGCAACCTAGCATACTTCCAGTTTCTGTGATTAGATGTGGAATCTGTGTGTGTGTGTGTGTGTGTGTGTGTGTGTGTGTGGAGGGGTGGGCCCTACTATGCCTGTCCTACTCACGGAAGGATATTTTACTCTGCAGAAACTAAAGATACTAGAAATCTTTCCTCTTCTGCCAAATAGTATCTAATACTTTCTATATTTTTATTTTATATGAAACTTTATTAAAGTAAAATGCAAAAATCTCATAAAATTGTGTAATTTAAACGCCTATCATGATACAGAACATTAACACATAACAGAAAATCCCCTCATAACCCTCTCTAGTTGACATAGCTCTTGCCCCACAGGCACCCACTGTTCTGACTGTTCTGATCATTTTCCCACTATGGCTTCATTCTAACTGCTTATATCAATGGAGTAAAAAGTGTTCTTTATTTGTAAGACTAATTTGTTTTTATGTATTTTTCAACTTTTATTTAATAAATATAAATTTCCAAAGTACAACTCTTGGATTATAGTGGCTTTTTCCCCCCATAACCTCCCTCCCACCCGCAACCCTCCCATCTCCCACTCTCATCCCATTCACATCAAGATTCATTTTCAATTATCTCTATATACAGAAGATCAATTTAGTATATACTAAGTAAAGATTTCAACAGTTTGCACAAAATTTATTTATATGGTCATGTGTACCAATTGTTTGTTTCCTATTATAACTAAAATGTATTCTATTATGTGAATATTCTAAGATATTTCACCATTCTTCTATGAATAGAAACCTTAGTTTTTCCTCTTGGTATTTGCTTTCTGCCTGAAGTACAACTTTTAACATTTCTTATAATGTTTACATACTGATGATGAATTCTTTCAGTTTTTGGTGGTCCAGAAAGTCTTTGTTTTGCATGCAGTTTTGAACTATATTACTTCTGGGCATTCAGTTACAGCTCAGCAGTGTTCACCCTCACCTCCAGGATTATAAAAATGTGGCTCCAGCCTTCTCACTCACGTTACCTCTGATTATATCCAAATTTGTTTATCATAGTTTCCCTCATAGGATTAATTTTTATGTAGGTACATCTATAGAGGTCTATGAAATTTGTCACACAGATGCACTCAAATAATTAACTCCAAAATGGAAAACAGCAAATTTTGCTATTTACCACACAGAATTTGTCTTATGTTACCTTTTCCTCTTTTTTTTTCTTTTCAAAAATTTTATTAATAGTAAGAGAATAGATTTTACAGGTACAATTCTAAGAAGATAATGATAATGTCCTCCACTTACCTTCCTTCCTTAATTTTTGCAAAAGCATAATTTCAGTCCACTCTAAAATCACAGGCTTGATGCACTACTAACCATAATATTCAACAAGTAAAAAGTACAGGACCACAGTTCCATAGGAACATCAACAAGAGTTAAAATCAGCATTTGTCTACCTCCTCAATTCCTGACAATCACTAATTTGCTCTGTATCACTCTAACTTTGTTACTCTAAAACTCCTATATAAATAGAATTTGGGATTAAAGGTGAGCAGCATTTGCTCTGGTGAGCACATGATAGGAAATTAGGATCCTAATCATTGGTCTGGTACTCAGGACCAGACCATGGGACTAGCAAACGTTTATGTCATTAGGTATGGTATTGAAGGTGGGAGGCACACCCACAAATCAGGGAGCCTTCAGTAGTTACTGACGCAATGAAGTGTTGCTCACAGTAGTTCAAGGCATACATTCTAAAATTCAGTCTGTCCTAAATTTTAAGCTTAGATTTAATTTTATCAATTAAGTATATTTGTGCAAATAGATACACTAAGCCTAGGCTCCCTCATCTGTAAAACAAGATAATGCGATTACTTCAGTCACCTTAAAGATTAACTGAGATAATGTTTCCAAAATATTAAGCATAGGGCTTGGTAAAGCATAAGCTCTGAATGAAGGTTGGTTAGTACCACCAGCAATGAAACACTTATGCCAATGAGGCATCAGCAGGATGTCACAGGACTTCATAAGATTGGGATTATCAGGAGAACTAGAATGAGTCTTCAAGTGGAAGTTGATTTCTACTACCAGCTACTAAATTATCATTATCCCTTTGAGGCACATAGTTCAAGGAAATTAGTCTAACCTGGAAGTCATCCAAACCCGTTTTTGCTTCACAAGTCTCTATTCAACAAACACAAAAGTATTTTGTTTCTCTCTTCTGAAATTAAAATTATGTACATATCTTAAATAACTGTTACTCAGGAGTCATAAATGTATTATTTAAAATTCAACTTGACATGGCATCGTAGCCCAAATTTCCCAAGATATTTAATGGACGGTCTTACATTAATCACTACAATAAAAAATGAACACATACCGAATGAATAAAACAAAAGTTGCCACTTTATGTTTGCAGCTTAGTATTCTTTAGCCTGAAACATTAAACTTAGTAACAATATTTAGCTATGAGATTTATTACATTATACTTAATAACTATCAAATTAAACTATACTGACAACATAAAAAAAAAAAAAAGATAAAAAAATCACTTGAAAATTGACAGGACCCCTGAAGATTAGTTAGTTGTGTTTGTGTGAACTGAACTGCTCAATATGCACTGGGGAATGTGATAATGATCTCTGGTGCTTTAGAAATCACACTAGAATTTTTAGAATCTTCAGAGACTTGTTCTCAAAGGAAAACAATGAAATAAAACATGGGTACTATATGATATATGGCTTTGATTTTAATACTGCTATGTTGAGTGAATTCTTATTTCCAGTGGCAAGAGTTTGCTTTTGTGAGTCACTGTGGTTTAATGATTTCCATTTACTATCTGAGAGCACTTTTTTTTTTTTAAGATTAGTTATTATAGTGCTATCCCTGGCAGGCAGGCAGGCAGGCAGGCAGGCATCTATCTATCTATCTATCTAAAGATTTATTTTATTTATTTGAAAGAGTTACGGAAAGAGGTAGAGACAGAGAGAGAGCGCAAGGTCTTCCACCCACTGGTTCATTCCCCAAATGGCCACAACAGCTGGAGCTGAGGAAATCCGAAGGCAGGAGCCA